TTGATTTTGCATGCTGTGTTCGCATGTTATTTGCTTTTTTCGTCCCATTGATTTCATGAGACATGTCAGTTGATCTTTTTTGGGCATGCTGAGTTCTTGCTCAAGTGTGGCTGTGCAGCCACTGAGAAATTTTTCACCCACCCTCCCACCCTTCAAGAGGTCGTTTCACTCTCGCCCAAAATCGGTTTTTGACAGGTCGCTGGGGGGTTTCGGATGGTTCGTGATGGCTGTGATTGCCATCTTGGGCTGCAATTGCCCATGTGCCTGCCAAACCTCCGATGCGACAACTTTTGCCCCCAACATCTCAAAAAGTGTGAGTGCGCTGCTGGGGTTCCGTTTGCAACTTTGACATTATTCTCGGATGATTGTTTGAATATTATGTGAGTGATGGAAAAATTTCTCCGTACAGTTTTCTGTCCTCTGAGTTGAACATAATATTCTTGATGCTCGCTACCAAGTGAGTTGATTGCAAAAGAGATTGACAATTTTTTTTTATTTTGCTCGCAACTTCGCTGGTGTGCCTCTTTAGAGAGCTTGGGAAATAAGATCATTTTTGAGCAACCCAACGTCTTGCAGCTCCCTAACTGCAGCTCGAGACTCCCAGTTTCCAGCATGCACGGTAAGCAAGCGCAAACAGGCGGTTCTTGCCTGTAACCACATTGCCAGCAACCACGCATGGGTGCTGCAGAACAAAACGGCTCAGGGCCGTGATTGAACTAAGGAGCACTTCCTTGAGTGTCCAAAAAATTTGCAGCATGCAACCACTAGATCATCCAATCGCATTTGAAGAATGCATCTCATGTTCCCATGCCGCCGTGTTGTCAGCATGAACATGAAGTGATTTCGCCTGTGGCAATGCGCGGCTTAGGAATTGGCCGCTTAAATTTCTTAATAAGCCAATTTGGAAGTCCGAATGCTTGCAAGCATATTTTCTTAATTGAATGGTTGGACATTATGCGTATGCGAAAGTGATTGAGCTGCTGGTCACGTATTTGAATATTAGTCCATTCACAGTTTCCTGGTGGTTCTGGCATGATGGAATCAGACCAACTGTTTTTACCAGCTCCCGGTTGAGCAATGAATTGCAGATTCACGTCATGCTCGGCAGTGTTCCCAAGACGAAAACTTCGAAACATGGTCCATGAACCCATGATCATCAGCGTGTTTGGAGCCGTCAAATTTGATTAGCCAGGTTTGCGTTGTGTTGGGCAATGATTTCCAACATGTTTTCATGTTTACCGCCGTGCGGGCCAGCGTTGCATCCAGGCAGGCTCCTCTTATGAACGGTTGCAGGCCGATATTTTGTCCAGCTGTGTCAGGCGATCCGTTTGGTTTCCGCGGCAGTGCTGGTCGGCCAAATCGTTGGTTTGAAAGAAGCTCCAACGCATTGCTTCTGATTTGAGGTTTGGACACGAAGGCTTTGTCCGAGGCTGCGGTGGTTGCACACTGGTTGACTTGCTGGATCCAACATGCATAGCCGCATAACTGTTTTTGTGGCTGCTGCTTTTGTGGGGGAAGCCAGCTGTGGCCTCAGGACGTATATTGGATGCAGATTCAGTCTGCACGGAGCTGCCCCGACAGTTGACCAAGAGTGAACGTCGGAGCTTGTTTTGCAGGCGCATGGACTGACCATCATGTAATCGGCGCTCTTGTCTAGCAAGGGCGCCCACCCCATAGTAATAGCTTCGAACTGATTATTCTCGGGAAGCCAGATTCCACAAGGAAACTATATAGTGCGACCATGAAATCAGATCTAGTTTACAGCGAATTAACATGGATTGAAGATTTCTTGTTGAAATCTCTCTGGAATGAACTTCAACCTTCAACCTCAGTTCAACTTGAAGAAACCATATTGAAATCAATGTGAGATGTAATGAGAATCAATTGACCTTAGTTAAAGCCATTCGACATGTATCTGAAATCCGTTAAAATGTGATGGCAATCTCAGTAAAATCAGCTAGAAATAAATCAAAAGCCAACTTTTTTATACGTCTTCTTGATTTTATCCAGAGTCTAGGTGAAAAGGACACGAAACTAATGACATTGAAACAAATTGCTACTATTCTAGGGGGTTTTGCATTAATCTGAAAACAAAGCCCCTCAGGCAAGGTCCGCCAGGGGTAACTCAGGAAACAATGTTTGAGCGTTTCATTCCCAATGATTGATAAGCAATTCCGGTCTCAAAATCAGCTTTCTTTTTCTCATGTTAAAAACAGCCTTACTCAGCAATGCAAGCTTCCGAATCAGTTTTGCTGTTCTTATTGTCAAGCAGCCAAGAAATAAGCCTTTTAAGAAATAATGCGAAACTAATGACTTTGAAAACATGTGTTATTATCCTTGCGGATTCTCCATTAGTCTACAAACCTCAAACCGGGTCAGGGTAGCTTTCTTTATATCTAGGGCGTTTTTTGGCCCAAAGCTGCTTCCGCCCTTACAGGTATCTTTGTCCCTTAGTCATTAAATCTAGGGGTTTTATCAGTCGAGAGCACGGATTGCTTCTTAGATTTGATTAGATTGCTGGAATAAATCACAAGTTGCGATGTACCTTGAGTTTACCCGGTTTCCCAAAATGTAAGGATTGCAAATGCTTGAGTCTTGAGGCACATAGTTGGAATTTTCCAGGTGCAAGAATTTGACTAGGTCATTGTTGCTCAGGTCCCTTGTGCTGGAGTTGTCCGGAGTATGTATGTCGTTTAACGTTGTTCGATTTCTTTTTACCATTTCGCTTCTTTGTTGGCACTATGTATGTTTGTAGCGGCATCCTGTAAGATGGTGGGTTGACTTTTTGCAACCTTCACAGCGGATAAGTATGCGAAATTGTGACCGTGCCGTAGGATCTTTTTGGGTATGTTGGGCAAGGTGCGGTGCTTGCACCAGTTGGCTTTGTATGGATTCAGTTTGATTCGGGTTAGTGTTCACTCAGTCAAGATCCACGCGTCAGGTGGAATTGCACTTCCACACCGTTGCGCAGACCAGCTGCGCAAACATAACCACGCTCGGTTTTTCGACATTCAGTGCAGGCTCCACACCGACCTGCGAAAACGTGCTGCAACTTCAAGTGAAGTGCCCAGCCCAGGTTCAGGGGATGCCCCAAATGCAAAAGCGTGTTCGCAGCTGCTTGCTTGGAAGGTCCTCAGCGTGGTGCAAGAGTTCTGCTGGCGCGCGATTGTTTCTTTGCCTACACAGTATAGAAACTGTTGCCTGCAGTGTTATAGATGCCAGATGCCACCGCTGGCAGCTGCTCAGGGATCCACGTGATTGGGTGGTCATGCCCTTGGCTTATGCTTAGGCTTTGGTATGCTAACGGTTTGGCCATCCTGCTACCTGCTCCCAAGCCGCAGGTTGCAATTAGCGCGTTGGGCCGTGTCCACATGTGGGAGCAAACTCTTTTTATGCTGCAGGCACATGGGTCCTTGTGATGCATATTTTTTCGCAAGAGTTGCAGGCAGCTTAAGTAGGCTCTTGGCAGACACAGGCCATGAAGATTGAGAACGGCATCAGCGTGCATGCCTTCAATGCGACCATGTCTTCCTTAGAGCCTGCTGGGCTTGCTTTCATCGGATGGCAATGTGCTTGCATGGCAGCAGCCAGGAGATCTCACGAATGGGCAGCTGCATTGTCATTGTTTCACGACAGTCATCGCCACTCGCCTGCTGATCAACCTGTACTACTGGAAGAGGGTTTGGAATCAGACCCAGAAGTTGCCATGTGTAGGAAACGTGGTCCTGCCTGACATTGTGACAGCCTTATTGTGCTCATTGTTTAACAATTGCCTATCGATGAAGAGATTTGCAAACAGATTTTTCAGGTCACTGTCAACACTTTGCTTTCTGCGTACTCTCGCAGTGGTCTTTGGCGGAGTTGGAGTCTTAACTGCAGCTTACTTCAACGTTTTCCAGGCGTGAGGCTGTTGTCATCACCATCCATGAGGTGGACTGCAATTCTTACAAAACATTGCAAAGCACAGTCTTCAGCCGAACGTTGTCAGCTACAGCCATTGTCTCAGTCTTTTCAATCTGAAAGTATGATACGGGGTTCAAGGGCAGACCGCGATGTGAGTGAGCGGCAAGTGAGAGCACATAGAGGCGGTCGATGGGCGAATGCAATTTTTGATCACTGTCGAGGTACAGCTGTGACCGGCTGTGAGCGTGGGCGTGCTTGGGAGCAAGCATTGCAGGCCATGGCACTCAATGCATACTTTTAAGATCTTATTGCGTGTTGTTTGTTGAGCAGAGGTCTTCTCTGCAATGCTCGGCAAAACTCTGAATGGTGACAGCATTGTATTCAATGCCGCTCTGGCTGCCTGCGATGGAGGGTCTCAGTGGCTCCAGGCCCGTCCAACATGCAGTCTGTTGTCTGCCTGTAGGTCACAATTGTGGACGGCACATTTCCAGGCTTTGGACGTTCTCCGGCAGATGCAGAAGGCCAGGTTTTTCTCTTCCTCCACTCTTCATGTTGTGAACCAGTCGCAGCTGCACCTGCACATTCCATGGGGCTCACAGTGTTGACCACGGTCGACCTGATGCTGCGTGATGCTGCGCGGCTCTTCCGCAAGGGCTTGAAGTCTTTTACAGCACTGATTGCTGATTTTCGCTTCTCTTCAGCTCATGCAGTGATTGATGCAATTGATTTGTGAACTGTGTTTGTTGTTCTCCATCGATAAGATTGAGTACCGGCGTTGAAGCACGTGGCTCGCAAAGGCCTGTCTTTGCATTCCTCCATGTTACGTATACAAGCATCACACCTGGCAGTGTATCTGCAACAGCAATGAATCTGAGGTCTGCTGCGACACACCCCGGGAGTTGCTCGTTTACATCCCATTTGTTTTGGAACCAGCGTCTGCCGACACCGGCCTATGAGAACGTTTGATGGATTGATTCAGGCACTAAAATCATTCCAGATCCGTAGCTTCGCCATCTTCGCGAAGCCAGAGAAAGCTTCCTGACCTCGAAAAGTATGTTGGCAAGTTGCACTTTCATTTGAATGCGTGTCGCCCTCAGGAATTCTTTCTGGATTTTAGACATGAAGGGGGTCTTCGCCATCGAGTTTCTGCGGCAAGCAGTGCGAATCAAAGTCCGATCTCATGGTTAAGCTTAAGGATTCCTGCAATGGGGAAACAATGTTGCAGAGGCCTGGCTTCTGCTTCCTTTGCACGAGCAAGCTGATGAAAATTGATTTGTGACGGAAGGGCCATTTGATCTTCTGCCTTCATGCTGCAAGCCTTTGCTCTGGTGTTTGGGCACCTGTTGCGAGCCGATTGGCACCAGAATCAGTGGTAGTGGCATGTTCCTCGGCAGCAATAGCAATAGCCAGCAATAGCAGCAAGATCATGTGTGGCTCCATGATTTAGAATGCCAGGCGATCTGCGGGGCCACGGAGAATCTGATGCACCAGAGGAATCGGCTCAATACTCTTGGCACGTCTTTGGCGAGGCCCAGGCATGTGTCCGTCATTCGCCATGTAGGAGCACTCTTCCGAGGCAAGTTGACTTGTCTGTCCGCAGGACTTCATTCGAATGGTGCGCTCCATTTCCAAGCTGTACGGCCGATGCCCCACTGCTTGCGTCACCCACTCCTTTGCAGGACCGGGATTTGGAAGGTTTACATGATCCTGCACATTATGGAGCTGTGATGGAGTTGTGTCAGGTGATACTGCGCTCATTGGCTTGGCTGCCAGGCCTCTGCCTCTTCGTAATGTTCTCGTAAGATGTGTAGAGACCTGACTGACGAGGCCAAGCAAGATGAAGCTATTAATGCTGGATCCAGTTCTTGCGGATGCTGAGGGTGCCACAACTGGAGCACAAAGACTTGCAAAGGCTGATACGTCTTTGGGAGTGAAAGGTCAAAGTGTCGGTCTTGTGCAGCACCTTGAAGGGCACACGGCGGCTTGGCGAGAAGGAGATCGCTGGCTTTGATTCACAGGAAGCTGTGGGCGAGGGGCTAGAGCGAGTTCTTCGTGCAGCGCTGGCCCGGCCATCTTTGCATCCAGAGGCTCTTCCTGCCAGCTTGAGCACTGTAATTAATGATGGAGCTTGCTGCACTAAGAGCTTCTGTGCCCAAACGACCTATCAGATTGGCATACTTCTCTTTGTTGCTGCACGTTCTGTTGCGCTATGCGGCCTGTCCACTGCCTTCCTGAATTTTATGTGAATTTTCTGCCATTTTAAGCTGTGTTCGCTGCCTTCGTTCGCTGAAACGTTTGCAAGCTTGATCAAACAAGTACTTTCAAGGCTTGAGGCGGGTCATGATCTTCGCTTATCCGGTGAAGCAACAGCCATGCCTTCAGTTGACGGCAGCAACAGCAGTGGTGTTACAAAAGATATGCATAGTGGAGTAATTTTCACAAACAGGCAGCAATTTGACACAGCGGATTGGAAAGTCGGAAAGATCGTTTGAGTGGACCGCTGGCAGAAATGCATGTTCAGGATGTGCCATGACTTTGCGTTTCTCTGCGCTGGTCTCTCCAACAAATGCTCAAGACATGCGTGTTTATGAGGGAGGAAAATCCTGTATCTTCAGGTAGCACTACAATTTGGCAATGCTGCTTTGGAGCATTAAGTTTTGTACAGCGCCACGCGTGTGCGATCCATCCTGCCAAAAAGATGAACATCATGCCAAAAAACGCAGCTTTGCAATAGTAGTGGCAGGAAGAGAGTTCGCCGCACCCACCGTGGCACAGTGGCAGACGTTACTTTAGCAGCGCTCCAGATGTGCAGCCAGAGCAGTAGCAGCGGCAGTTTTACAGCAGTACGAGTAAGGACTTGTGATTGTGCAAGAACTACTGGCAGATTCGGGAGCAGGTCCCAGAAGACGTCTCCAATGAAAACAGACTAGTCCCTTAAGAATCCAAACCTTGTTTAGGGAGATGGCGCCTGTAATAGGCTTGTGAAGCAAATTTTCATGATTCGGAGTATAATAACCTTCGTGTTTGGCAAGCCTACGGGGACCAGAGCATCCATGCCCCAAACATAGTAGCGTGTTCCAAGAACACACAGTGACCGGAGCATCCATGCCCAAAACATAGTAATGTTCGTGTTGCAAGAGCATGCAGTGACCATAGCATCCATGCCCAAAGCACGATAACGTTAGCATACGGTGACCATACCATCCATAACATAATGAAGTTCGTGTTCCAAGAGCACACGGTGAGCAGAGCATCTATGTCCAAAGCATCATAACGTTCGTGTTCCAAGAGCATACCGTCATGCGTTTTCTACGTTTTTTTGTACATTGATAAAGGTTTATTGCGTTAAATTAGTTTGTGGCATACCTGAGTTACCCTAGCTATTTCCTCAATTGCCATTTTGATTTCTCTTGAGAGTGGCGTACTTTTTACTCTGCGCTGCCTGAAGGTTTCGTCAATTTAGCATAGGCGACCTTTTGTTGGCTGCGCAAAGCTTTTGCAACAAGGTGCGGGATGTAGTGCTTATGGAGAACTTCTTTGCCCGGCACGGAGCATGCTTGGAAAGCACCTGCCCAAAAGTTCGGTCCCTGTAAGTTCAAGATGCTGCGGGACGCCTTCCTTAGCGTCCTGGCTCCCGCCGAACCTGCATGTTGGATTTCAACTTACAACATTAGTGATGGGGAACCGAGAAGGCTCAATAAAGAGCGCAGAAAAACTTCTTCAAAGCTTTCAGAATTTCTGTGCACTCCACTCAAACTCTCACAGCAGCTCGTCAGGTGAGACACTGTATATCTCATCGCATCTTTAAAGGGATCAGCTTCCATGTGGGCTTTTGCTTCCCCAGCGACTCCATTCTGGGCCGCCGGCCCGTACCGCCCCTCCTCTGGCCCAAACCCCCTTTCGTACCTACAAACCTATATTTGGGCCACTTGTTGCTGTTTTGTATAATTTATTGTAGCCTTAAGCTACACCCCCCCTGGAACCTCCCGCGGAGGGGGTCGATGACGTGACCGGAGACCCCCCGAGATGCTGGGCGGGGAAGGGTGTGGGAGGCCGCGGGAGCCCCCCGCAGGTCGATTCCTTCCTTCCTTCCTGCTTCCCCAGCGCAGGATATCATGTCCCTCGCTTCGCATGCTTTTGTACAAAGCTTCAGAAATCCCTTCAGAAACCTGGTATGGGGTGTGAGGCAAGGCAACCCAGACTCGCTGTGATTCCTCTAGTAGAAGCTTTAGATTTCTGTGTGAAGATGGCAGCGGCGATCTTAGCGGTGACTCCCTCCATCTTGTCCGCAAACAAGGGAAGCAAGCCGCCCAGGAGTCTGCGGAGATGCCCAGGTTCATTGTGTGGAACGCATAGAGCATTTGGGCACGCTGAACTCAGGGGCGGACAAAAGAGGCTTGAGCGCAGTTTCATTGTCGATCTGCCTCTGCAGAAACACAAGGGGCGTGAGGTTGCGGGTCATGCAAATTTAGAGCTTCTGCCTCGCAACAATCGCTGTGCAGCTATGTTCAAGAACCATGCCCTCTAATCTTACAACATGAATTCAGTATTACAACTTGAAATTGAGCATGGAATCACATATACTAAAAGCGCAAGAATCATTAATTCAAACAGGTCCTCCGCGAACAGTTGCTGTCCGCTTCCACTATCTGCCTCGCCTACCCGATGACATGCTCACTTCAGATCTTCCCAAAGACCAATAGCACAGCGTACCAAAAACATCAAGATCCAAAGCTCATGACCATGACCTTCTGATTGATCAAGCGGTTGTTGTGCCTGTGACGTAACGGCTGTCAACAATACGATCGTGAATTCGGGCGTGCATCATGAATATTCCTAGTGGCCTGTAAATCCATCCCATTCCATCCCATCCCATCCCATCCCAGAAGCTTCAGCTGAGGGTACGGCGAGGCTTTGGTTCCTGCACCGGCGGTGTTTTTTGCTCCCTCCGTGTGTCCACAAAGAACGTGCTCTTCATTGGTCTGTTCTCTCAACACATGTGCCCAAATACGCAAGTGTCCACTTTTTCATCCGTTGGAGTCCCCATCCACAATCGAGATTAACGCCAGTCCCCATTCACAATCGAGATTGAAGACATGTTCTTGTTCAAGACAGTCGACCGTGCTTCCTTACCCATAAACTGCTGAAGAACATTGGTTTGGGCCCTTCCGAAGCTAAACCCTGTCATGAAGCTCAAAAGCTCTGACTCCGTAGTTGATGCCACTGTGAAAGGTTGTCTTCCCGCGTTCCACCCTGTGAGTGGCCCTTGAGTGCAAACGAAAGTTGACCCTGGTGACTGCTCACATACTGGTGCGAATCACCGCCTGTAGGAATTCGAGCGAACTGTGTAAGAAATCTTCTTGCAAGTTCTGAATATGCGCAAATCTCCGAATTTGAATTTAGCCCTTAGAGGGCTGGCTTATATCTCCCATCATTATTTTCCTACAGGAGGAATTGGGATGGTTGTGGGTAGGAGCTGCACCGTTGACCGCAAAATATATTGCCACTAGTATGATCCATACCGGTTATGGTTGTTGCTACTATTTCAGTTGTTGCTCTGCTGATATTGCTTCTCATGAATGCGTCGCCCTTGCTTTCCTTACCATTCATGTGGAGAACCCACAGGAAGCACAGAGCTCCCAAAGCGTCAGTCTAAACATCCCACCTCTGCACAATGCCAGTCCTCGTCATAAGCACCACAAGTAGCACATGTTGCATAACGTGTTTGCGCACTCTACACACTCTACAGCGCAGCATAGGCAAACTGAAATCGCCATCCTGGATTGAACTTATGTGGCGTGTCGGAATTGCAATGCAGGCATTTTCTGGCCACTGCCATGGAAAGCTGATAGCATAACATGAGAGCAGAGCAGCGCAAAAACAGCATGGCCTTTATGCAGCACGACAATGCAGGGCGTGCAAACATCGTCCTGCGTCAAGCGCCAAGGCATATGTGTGTACTGGAAAACCTGATGACGCACACCCATCCGCACCCACGCGCCCAGACCCGTGTGCCCTGACCGCATGCAACACCATTAAGCGATGCAGAGGCGAAGGCTGCTTTTGCTGCTTTTGGCAGCTACAATGACAATGGTCGGTGGCGTTTGTGCCTGAGTGAGTGGGACATCGCGTTGTCCCGTAATTGGTCAAAGTTTCCCGAGGCTTGCTTTGCAGACGGGAGAATGAAGCGGAGGTCTATGCGAACCGTATTGCTGTGGCCTTGGAGTCAGGGGATGTCGAGTGCGTCAGAGTTGAGCACAAGCAATCCTTTTTGAAGACTTCGCTTTGCCGCACGCGTGGAGCCGTGAAGCGAAGCAAGCTGCACATCTTAAGCTGAGCCCTGATGCTGAGCCCTTTCCACTTAAGTGGACGCGGCAGAACCTTTACCCACGATCGCTTGCAAATTGATCTTAGACCCCAGACATGAGGCACTCGTGGATTATTTGTCTGCCAGGGAGGTCCCCGTGGAAGCCGACGGCTCGAACTTGCTAGGACATGCTTTGCATTGCCTTGGATGTGGTGCTTTGCTCTGAAAGGTCCAGCTCGTGCTTGCCTCCAAGCGGCGTGCCAAGCCGGAAGATCAGGATTTGTCATATTATGTGAGATGGAATGTTTCGCCGTCTTTGTAAGCTTCAGGTTTACATGTAAAGCCGCATAGGATTTGCACTATGTATTCTGCTTACATGTGCAGGAAAGTGCACTTCTCCGTGACCGTCAGCAAGCAGATCGGGTTGTGGCTCATTGCTTGCCAGGCTCTTCTGCCCCTCGCCCAGAGAGGGCTCGGCTATAATGATTTCCTTGGTCATTTGCATGGGATCCCTGTTGAGGTGCATCCGGCTGAGGGCGTGGGACACTTCCTCGTTTTAGAAGATCCAGCTTTTGTTGCCAAAATGGTTCGAAACCTGGTTTCACAGAGTTGAGCTCACAAAGTACAGTTGCACGGCAGAGGAGCAGAAAGGGACAGGGCAGAGTCTATCGACACATGCGCTGCGGTGGTGATGAAGGTGACTCCAGCCTAGAGTTATGTCCGAGGGTTCCCTAAACTGGGAGGCAGGATGCCGGCGAAGCCGAGCAACATATGGATCGGCAATAGGTGCTTGCGGTGGTGCATTCCAGTGGAAGGCAGGTTGAAGTTGAAGGTTTAGGGTTTTTGAGCAGCAAGTGTTTTCCACAGGTATCTGTGCAGCTGCTGGAGCAACTACAGAAGGAACAGCCTGGGAGCTCAGATTAGAGGTCCACGCACCAAGAGAATGTTGATTTTCTGTGATATCTGAAAGTCAATGCCGGTGGGTCAATGTAATTAAGGTTCAGGGCTCACAGACACCAAGCTCGTATTGCCTGGAAAGAGCCTTCATGAACAACATCCACTGTGCTCTGGAGGTTACACCCTGGCCGGATTGTGTGGAACTCGTGCATAAATGCTTGCCGCAAGGCTGTTCAAGTCTGTGTTCGTATCTTGTCACCAACCAGCAGAAGCTGGGGCCACAGCAGGCCGAGCAGCTACATGCAGCGCTGCGTATCTTCAGGGACATGCTCCACAGGAGCGCTAGCATTGATTCTGCCACCAGTCAGTTTGTTAGTAGAGGACCGTGCCAGGTCTGAGCAGCCGGACACCTTCTGTTACACTTCCCTCATCTCTGCATGCCAGCATCTGAGTCTGATCGCAGTGATTCTTGTCGTATTCGGACGCGTAGGTTCGCTGCATCTGATGTCCACAGGCACGCCTAGTGCACAATGGCAGCTTGCTACGTTTCTTCATGAGGCTCTCACATTGACACCTTGCAAACCGGGTTTTGTGAAGACCTCAGGAGATGCGAGAACTGACAGATGTGATCGCTTTCAATGCCACTCTCGGTGTTTGTCGCGAAGCCAGCCGATGGCTAGAGGCGCAGAGGTGCCGAGAACATGTGTGCAATTCCCTCAAGCCCTGAAGCATCCTGAAGCCTAGAGTTCAGAAATTCGGCAGGATCTTCTCAGATCTTAAAAACAAGGACTTCTCGCCCACGTTGCCTACATTCAAGGCTTGCAGTGGCTTGGCTTGCCTTGCTCTGAGCGCTGTCCATATGTCAAATGTGCCAAAGGCGGTCATTGGAGCTTGCGCTTATGCTCATCGCTGGTCAGACGCCTTGGATCATCTACAAGAACTGCGGAAGATGGCATGTACCTGGCCTGCATTTTTCTGGACAAGCTTCGTCATAAGAACGCAGCCTTCCAAGGCAGCTTCGATGACTTGATAGTTCAATACGGCATTGTGTCCAAGGCATGTGCCGAGGCATCGCCTTTGTTTTATTCCGTGCACGAGAAGCATCTTGCCAAGCATTGTCTTGCCAGGCGGGCCGCAAGGAGATTGAGGAAGTGTTGCTCCGTGAGGTGAAGATTCATAATTCTTCGAGTTCTGCTTAGAGTTCCGAGAAAAATTCAGCAGTACGCCGTAATGTATTCGCTGCAGGCCAACAGGCTGTGCGAGCAGGTGCCTCTGCGTTCCTTTCCTGCGGAATGGTCCGAGCCTTCGCGTTATTGACCAAGACCAGCAACTGAGCCTCTCCCAGAAGCAGAAGGTTGAGCGTCCTGCACTGGGAAGCAGCCGTGGCGCACTTCTCACAGGGCCAGGTGTGGCAAGCTTTGCAGAATATCGCAAGCTGCACCGTGTGTTTCCTGATGAGGTCGATGCTGAGAGTTTTGGAATGCAAAGCGCTCGGCTTCTTTGTCAGCAACATGCCTTACCTGCGTCGTTATCCGTTTGCCTGATTTTTTTTTGGCATGAGCCTTCGCACCATGCAGCAGATTCAGTTGCTTCAAGTCTCGCTGGAGGGTCTCCAGAGAGTCTCAAGTGTTGTCGAATGGCGTGGCCTGATCCGCGTTAACCAAGTGGATGGGAAAAGCATGGTTTTCCACCAGGAGTCGATTGCACAATTCAATTTGGTGAGGGTTTCCTGCAGAAGTATTTTTTTCACGTGTATAACAACGTTCTACGCGCAGGGTTTTCAGTGCATGCTCCTGATGTGTGGAAAGTGTAATGAGCTCACGACCGGGCGGTTTGGTCAACGCGTTGTTATCCAACGGGGGCCAGTCAATAGTAATCATATGGAAAGGTGTCAACATGACGAAAACATCTAGAGCCCGGGTCGCTCTGAAAAAAAAAAAATG